GATAAATTAATATCATATATACTTACACAGTTTTGTACACGGGCTTTGTTAAAGCTTATACATAAACCAGTCTCTGATTAATCTCTTTTTTTTTTTTTTTTTTTTTAAGCTGTTCTGTGATATTTCATTTGCATTATTTTGTGGCTAAGCTCTCTATATAACAGAATTTCGCTGATCTGAAGACTATGCTACAAATTTCTATAGAGATGAACTGCTGTAAAATTAAAATTTAACACCTTTCTAGACTTCCTTCATCTATCATAAAGTTAGTGTGGCTCAGCCTTAATTAGATTATTATAGGCCTAAAACATACGAGGTAGAATAGTGTGAGAGGAGTTGAATTTGGTCATTATCAAGAGTGTGTGGTTAGTCTAGCTGGTGTAGTCATTAGCCTCTGAAATACACGAGACTACATTTTCTATTTGATATGCTTTGAAGACAGGTCAAAATCCTTAACATGATTTAGGTCCACTGAGAAGGTCTATAATCCTGCTTTTTAATAAGCTCTATATTTCATGTCAGAATGATACCTGTGTATGTCAAGCATTGCTGAAGCTCATTGCCACACCTGTATTCATTTTGAAGTTGAAATGCATTGTTTTGGAAGAGCATTTACAGCAAATATTCTTGGAGTCACAGCAGTCAGGGCTTTAAGGCACGAAGGCTTCCTGGAAAACCCGGGTGCTGGGTTGTTTTTTTTTTTCTTTTTTCTGCTTCAGTTGAGGAAGAATTCAACTTCTCAGACTTTAAATGCTATCACATACTTCCCTTTTCAATATTTACTGCTGCGAACATGCACACAAGCTGAAGCTCTGGCTGTTGGGGATTGAAGTGCTTCTGTTCTGTAGGTCTGCCGTTTGCTGGGGAGCTCCAAGGCTGCAGCTCTGGCCGTGCTGGGGAAGGAAGGATGAGATGGCTGTCTTGAGTCTAAATTTGTGTTGAACTTCGTTGTTGTTGAGGTTTGTGTTGAGCAAGGTGGTGATGGATGGCTTTTACTTGCTATGGAAGAGGAGAGCTTGGATGGCAGCAGCTCAAAGAGCTGGGACCCTTGGTAGATGCAATCTTGGTGGAAGCCTTGTGGAGGCAAATGCAGGCTGGGCTGCTGACTCACCCTGGTCTGACAGGAAAAGGCTCCCTTCCACTTCTGCTTGTCTCTGGCTTCCTCCAGCATGTGATTAGTGAGGACTTCCTATCCGGCTCTGTAGATCTTTGAGACCATTATCATAATCAGTCTGACCAGAGTGGCTCCACAAAAAGAACTGGGAGGTTGGTGAATATCGGTGCTGTTAACAAGTTAATTAGGATGGCATTTCTCACGGAAAGGACCTGTAAAGAGAGATGCAGGACTGGCAAATAGCCTGTTTGCATTGCTGACTGCAGCCTTTCCCCCCAGCCCACAAAGCACCATGTGGGTTTTTGTGACTCTTCAGGGAGCTGAGATCCTTAACGCTGGGATAACTGGGGGTGTGTGGGTCTGCAGTTAGGAGCGCCCGGGTGGGTTTTTAGAGTCCATGCCACATGCCCCTTCTTAATGGTTGGAGGTGCTCAGTTAAAACTCTTCAAGAAACAGGTGCCAACGCTTAAAAAACAAGACAAAAAGAACCCCCCAACATCAACAACAGAAAAGGATGGTTGTTGTTGTTGGGAGCGTGATTGTATGTTCTCTTCCAAATTGGATGCTGATGTGAGAGCTTATTTTCTTCCATAATGCATGCGTTTTAAAACTATTCATCCCACCTACCTCCCAGTGTGACTGGGAAAAGACTCCAGTGCTTCTTAAAAAATAAGTGAGGTCTGTGCTTGACGCTGTGTTTGCTGATAGGAGTTTTGTCATTGACTTTAATAGGAGGGCATCAGTCTTCTACATGCAGAAAAATATGCCCTTTAATTAAAAAGCCAAGTAAATTAAAGCACAGTGAAATTGGAATGTTATTTCTTACCTTCTACACTTGTGGTGATTGGTTTAGTTTTTTTTAAGAGACTTTAATGCATATGGATTTTTTTTTTTTTTTTTTTTTTTCTTAAAGTCCCACAGGATAAATTGCTGGTTGGGATTGGCTTGTACCCACTGATTAATTCCTTGCGTCACTGTCTTCAATCTTGTTGCAGTTGTTCTTGGAGAACTTGGCAGCAGCAGCAAACTGGCAGAAATGTTATTGAGCCAGAATAGCAATAGCATTGTTAATACAATAAGCAAGGTTTTCTGTGAACTACTGTGCTATTCTGTGAAGCTGATGAGCTGGTTAACACCTTTTACTTATTCTGCAAGGATCTGAGGCTGGAAGAGAATTAATGCAGTTGTGAAGCACGGAGAACCAAAATAGCAGTGATTCAGTTAGAGTAGAGCCAAATCTTCGTAAAATTAAACTCCATTGTGTTAGAGACTTTACTTTTTTGATACCTATATTATTAACTTCTCTGATAAGAGCAGGAAATGTAATACAGTGGTATTGGAGAAGCCTTGCACATTAAATCTAAGCTATTATCTTGGGGTTGTATGAGAAGAAGCCACTCTTCATCTGGTGTGTTATGGGAATCAGATGATGCAGAATTTCTATTTCCTGAGGATACCATATAATTCACAAAACTAGTTTTTGGGGTAGCTTTGATTTCCTTAACTTTCAATATGTTGTTTGGAGTAGGTGGAAGGCTGCAGTACATATATGGGTATTTCTAATTTCATAAGCAACAAACAATACCAGACAGTTCAGCGAATTTTGTCATGGGCAAGAGTGTTTACTTGCAAGCTGCTGCTGCTGCTGCTGCTGTAATCCTGAAAATTTTTTTGAGAATGGCATTTTGGTAAATTTGTGTGTAACAGGTTGATGCTCTTCTCTCATAGAAGTGATTCAAGGTTTGCTGTCTGGTTGACCTTTCTAATTGGACTGGATCACATGCTTGAACCAGGATTGAGATTTGCGGGCAGGAAGAAAGCTGAGGAATTCAGCTTTCAGATGCGTTCAGATGACTGACAGCATTCAGATTACTGATGTCATCTACCTGGACTTGTGCAAAGCTTTTGAGACTGTCCCACACAGCATCTTTGTCTCTAAATTGGAGAGACATGGATCCGATGGACGGATCACTCAGTGCATGAGGAACTGGCTGGATGGTCAGTCAACCGCCCAGTGGCCAAGTGGCGAGCGGTGATGAGTGCCATTCTTCACTGGCCACTGCTGGGGCCGGTGCTGCTTAACAGCTTTGCTGGTGACACTGACAGTGGGATCCAGGGCACTCTCAGCAAGTTTGCTGATGAGACCGAGCTGTGTGGTGAGGTCAACACGCTGGAGGGCAGGGATGCCGTCCCAAGGGACCGTGGCAGGCTGGAGAGGTGGGACCGTGCAAGCCTCATGCAGTTCAACGAGGCCAAGTGCAATGTCTTGCACATGAGTCGAGGCAATCCCAAACACAGATCCAGGCTGGGCGATGAGTGGATTGAGAGCAGCCCTGCGGAGAAGGACTTGGGAGTAGTAATGGATGGAAAACTGTGAGCCAGCAAGGTGTGCTCACTGCCCAGAAAGCCAACCGTGTCCTGGGCTGCAGCAAGTGTGGGCAGCAGGGCGAGGGGGGGGATTCAGCCCCTCTGCTCTGCTCTCCTGAGACCCCACCCAGAGTACGGCATTCAGCTCCGGGGCCCGCAGTATAATAATGACATGGACATGATCAGGTGTGCCCAGAGGGGGCCACGGAGATGCTGGGGGGGCTGGAGCAGCTTCCCTGGGAGGCCGGGCTGAGAGAGTTGGGGGGTTCAGCCTGGAGAAGAGAAGGGTCCAGGGAGCCCTTCGAGCGGCCTCCCAGGGCTTAAAGGGGGGGCAGGAGAGGTGGGGAGGGACTCTGGGTCAGGAGGTGCCGGGACAGGATGAGAGGTAATGGTTTTAAACTGAAAGAGGGGAGATTTAGATTAGATATAAGGAAGAAATTCTCCCCCATGCGGGGGGTGAGGCGCTGGCCCAGGGTGCCCAGAGCAGCTGTGGCTGCCCCCTCCCTGGGAGGGTTCAAGGCCAGGTTGGACGGGGCTTCGAGGAACCTGGTCTAGTGGAAGGGGTCCCTGCCCGGGGCAGGGGGTTTGAAACTATATAATCTTTAAGGTTTTTTCCAACCCACACCATTCTATGATTCTGTGATTAATATTCTACGGACAAACCATTTGCTGAGCTGCAAGTCTAAGCCCGACTGTTCATGTGCAGGTTGTTCAAGGGAGTGTGACAGCTTGGCCGTGCCACAATGCAGAGATGGTAGATGTGGCCATATTGATGTTAACCCTGATACTAGAAATACAGTGCAGGGATAGCCAAAGTATCTCCAGAGGGGCTGACTGATGGTACCTCCAAGGGAACCACTGCATTGAGTGGTACTCCTGAACCGGGGGTGGTAGAGCCAAACAGCGCTGGCTGTGTGGACTGGTCAGTGTGACAGATGCTGACTTATGGACCCTCCTGTTATAGTTAAGTTTTTCTGCTCGTTAGTTTCTCTTTCTATGTATGTGTTCCAGTAGTCACATTAGAGGAGATTTCCTCTAACTTCTCTTTTTATTTGTGATAATTTTAAGTTTACTTTGTTCTGTGCTTTTAGGGCATAACCAGTTTGGAGATTATGTGGTAATGAAATTTTATGTTGCAGAAATGCTCTATTTTTATTACTTCAGAGAATGCCACTGTTTGTACACCAGGGCACCCCTGAAGGGTCTTTATATTCTTCTTCTGTGATCTGTACCACGGTCAGGCTCTCTCTTCCTCTTTTTTTCCCTACACTTTCCCCAGTTTCCCATATTTGATGTCTAAAAACCTATTCAACAGCACTCATGTCTCAAGCGGTGGGTATGTAAATATTTACCGGCATGACAGTCAACAACGGTGGGTGGGGGGAAATTGCTACATCCTACCATTCAGGGAACCTTCAAGTTCTCTCTCAGAGTGTGCAGTCGATGAGAACAGGAAAGGTTTGCAGTTTGTATTTGACTTGATGTGTTTTTTGCTCTCTTGGTTCCTGTTTTGTTGCAGATGACATTCATATAGCTGTAGAAGGCTTTATCAGCTCTTGCAGAGACTTTCCCCTGCACACACCACTCGAGGCTGGAGCTGTAGTGGAGGAAAATGGAGCCTGTAGATCTCCTGGCATTTGCCTCTATAGAAATGAATAGTACAGCGGTCACCCTGGCTTTGCTGGCTGTCTTCCTGGTCCTGCTGTATTGGTAAGTGATAACGATGATACGGGCTGCATATCAGGCACAAAGCCTGCCGAAGCTCCCCAGCATCTATAGAGTCTTTTATTCATAAGGGGAAACTGGAAGATAATTGGCTAGAAGTGACATGGAGGGGGGAGTTGGTTTGGCTGCAGAGGTTAAAATAAATACTCAGGAAACTCGTGATGCATTTTAGAGAATTCTCTCCTTGCAATATTTTCTCGTGAGTGCTTTACCAACAAACTGCTATCAAAAAAAACTGCCCTCAAAATTAAGAACTTATTACTGTTGGTTTCTTATTCATTTCTGTAGGCAGCAAGAACATTGTTGGTGGTCAGAAATAAACAAAGTCTTTGTTTGACCTCCTGTCTGTACTATGCTGCACACTTGTCCCTTGCCAGCTTTCTTGGCTTAAGTGTACAGACGCTTTAACTGTTGCTTGAATTTCCTCTCCTGTTCTTTCCACACTGAGTAGTGGATACAAATCAGAGTAACAGCAGCCCTAATGGTTAGCACAGTAGGCATTGCAGTGAGCTGTGCTGAAATGAAAAACCCATCCCGTCCAGATAATTTATTCCAGACATTAATTCAGCTGAACCGGGTGTGCTTTTCTGACTGTTTTTCTTGAATACCTGTTCAAATCCTGCCTTCTAGTCAACCAATGCTTTTTATCATTCATATGTGTGTTCAAGAAAACGTTTCAGGGACAGCGGTAGAGAAAGAATCTCTGACAAAACCCCAAAGCTGATCTAGAAGAGAATAATGATAGCACCATGAGTTTAGCACAGCTGTTGTAGCAGTGTAAATGATAGATCACTTCTGCACATATTTCTTCATTCTTTGACCCTGTTGAGCTTTGTTCAACTTCCTTCTGTGTCAAGGGAGGGTCTAGAGAGACTAAAAGAGTCAAGTCAAGCCTGTTTCTTATGTGCATTGCCATATCAAATAGGTGGGTTAGCCTGCTTTCGTAATAAGATCTGCCCAAATCATAACTGTCCAAGTTTTACTTCCTTTGAATTTTACTGGGGAAAAGAATGGGGGCACCAGATCTTTCAGTAAAACCGCACTGTTTAGCTGCTGACCTGTGCAACTGTGTGAGCTGAGGGGGGTGCGAGGGAGGGCAGAGGCACATCCACCCTTCGGAAACGCAGCAGCTCGGCTGCTGGGATCAGGCGCCTGTGAAGCGGCTGGAAGAGCCTGATGCTTCCACGCAGTACATGTTCTGTCTCTGAAGACACAGAACTGCTCCGTGTAAACGTAGGTACGTTCTGGTGCACGCTTCTCCAGAGCCTCATTTTCTGTCTCCCTTTAAAGACGGCTGTTCCTCCCCTTGAAGCGAAGCCGTGGCAGCTTAGCGCAGAATTTGGTCTTGCCGTAAACAAGCCCAGCTCTAATTGCAGACTGATGTCAGAGTTAAACCAGGCTCCTGGCTGTGGATAGTCAGCTGCTGAACTGAGTGCCTACCATATAAGTTTCAAAAAGTCCAATTTAGTAGCGAGGTGGGAAATTGCCTTACAGTAGAGTTACACTATTCAGTGTTTCTCCTCTGCTGGCTGAAGGGGAGTTCTGTGAAAGCATCAGGTAAAGGAAGCTGGAGCTTTCTATGGGAAAGTGTTTCGTACTTGTACCCACTAGTGGTTATTACTAACCAATCTTGTTGATCTACAGATACAGGTTGATTTTAAGCAGCTTATTAAATACAGGTGCCTGTAGGTCACTCCTCCAATGAGAAGCTGGTGTTTCTTAAACTTGCAATGAAATATGCTGGGCAACATCTGTGGGCTATTGGTAGGCTTGCCTGGAGGCTAAGCTATTCAGATCCATTTATTTCAGTAAAATGCGGTGACCGAACCGGTAAGGTTAATGGCTTGAAGCACATCTGCAAGTGTGGTAGTTGTTGCTCAAACCTGTCAACTTATTCATTTGAGAGTCTATTTTTTATAAATTCTTTTTATACTGCATGTCTATTTAAACAAATAAGTAAAACCCGATGCGTGCTCACAGCTTCCTTTATTCATGGCTGAGGAATTATTTAAAGAGTATATAAAGGTCCCTAATTCTAGAGAATGTTTTTGTTACAATCATGTTGCATACCCAATTGTCTGGCTCTTCTAGGAGTCAGAGAACACAACCGTTATGTATGGCAGGAGTAATAATAAAGTAATAACTCTTCAAGTTCCTTTGACGCTTTCATTCTAAGCCTCACTCTCATTTTTTAATAAATTCTGAATTCTTTTTTTTTCTAGCTTTTTCTGCCAGCATTGTATCTTTTCAGAAGGGCAGTCATGGGGGAACAGAGGAATGAATATTTGCTCTTGTAAATTTTGTTATGGTAGTAGCTTATGATTAATCGGGGTCACATTGTGTCAACTGTTGTGTGGGTGCAAAGAGGCAGTTTGTCCACCGTGTTGTCTGTAAAGGGCTTACAGGCTAAACAGAAGGCAGCTGCAGGTAGAGAAAAGAGTCAATAGATCTAATGCACACTAGAATAGCAACACGGTGATGGAAACTGTTGTGTTATTGAGCTATTTCCTTAGCATGGGTTTTGTGGATGGGGGTACTTGGTGGTTTAAATGACAGCCTTGAGCTGCTGCCCATCGGCTCAGCCTCCGCTACTGTTAACATGTGTGTTGTAAGGCCAGCTGTGATTTATCACAGTTCAGCTGGCAGGTGGTATCTTGCTAAATTGTGATAAGACCAATCTCTTCACATTTTTGGGTAAGGTGAGGTCATGTGAAAAAGGGAGAGAAGCGAGGGTTGATTGGGAAAGGGAGGAGAGACTGTAGCTGCATAAAAATAAACTTCTAGAGAAGATATCGGTTTTGGGAGGATGATTTGATAATTTTTTTTTTAGACTGTTATTTGTGGTACAATGAAGATCATCAGTACCTCTTTATAACAAATCCTCTAATAGCACATCTCTGATTTCTCATGTGTTGTCATCAGTGTAATATGAAGGTGATGCTTGTAGTGTATTGTGTCAATTTTGGATCAGTGGAAAATTCAGCAACTATAATCTTTCAGTGTTTGTCTTCCACATGACCTTAAGTCAGCTATAAGGAGAAGCTTTTTAAGGTGGGTGATTTAATGTTGGGAGTAGAAAGAACAGAGAAGCTTTTGGGTACATAGTCTCTTCATATTGGAAATGGAAAGAACAAACCTGAGGTTGCTTTTTTTGGTAATCTGTTAATTTAGCAGGCTGCTCGAGCCTGCATGCTGTCCCCCATTCCGGAAGGATTTATTTGTCTGCTACTCTTCCCATTCTTCGTACTTGCTCTCAGTAGGTCAAAGTCTCTCCTTGCAGACCTCGTATCATGGATTCTTCAATGGCTGTTCCTACCTCACTACTATTGTGAGAGGCAATGACATTACTGCTTTACTGACCGCAGAAAGGCATACTATGGCTAAATACATAAAATTTGGTAATACCAGTGGCACAACACTGAGATCTCTTAAAAAATCTCTTGTCTATGTCTCTCCCACCTCCTGTGATTTCTACCACCTCCTGTGATTTCTACTAGCCAAACTGATTATCAGAGCAGTTTCTTTTAAGGGCACTTTCCTTCTCAGTTGCAAGGACTGTTGTCTCTATTTACTTAATCTCTGTGAATCTCCGTTTTTTTTTTTCAGGCATGAAATAAAAATAAACACTTCAGGGAGGAATGAGGTTAACATTTACAAATCCCAGTGATATTCTCTATTGAAAAATACATTAGTATATCCATGCAACATATTGTTCATTTTCACTTCAAACATACACTGGGTTGGGTATCCCATGCTTGGCTGTAGCTGCAAACATTGCTTTGTGTCTTTCTTTTTGCTGTCTGTGAAGATGTTTGATAAAATGAAAGCAGGAGTTTATCTTGCTTTAAAGTTTAATGTACCATAAGCTTAGCATTATAAAGAAGCTGTCACAGCATTCAGATACCTGTGTTCAAACTGGTTTATCAACCCCTTGTCTAAACAAACCTGGGTTTTTTTAGAAACATGGGGGTTGGCTGGGAGGTGTTTGTTTATGTTTGTAAGATACACGTCTAATTGCATGCTTTCAAACATAGCAAAATGTATATTAGCGGTGTTCTCGTCTGTTTCTGAAAAGCTAAATCATTCAGAAGGATGCCATTTTTACATTGAAGTAATATTAATGATCACTTGTGTTACAGAAACATATAGAGAGATTGAGAGATTTGAATTCCACCGGATCTAGATACCGTCCACCCATTGCATAACAAGTCAATCCCAACCCAAAGCATTTGCAGTCTCTGATCAAAAAGAATGAAAACTAAATTTGATGTTTTTTTCCTTCTGGCCTTAATCCTAGACATTTGCATACACTTAGATGCAGGAGATGCTTAAGACATGGGGGACAACATGTGTTAAGAGTTCATCAGTTGGTACTGTACCTGTACTAGACCACATCAGAAATTAATCTCAGGACAGGTATTATCTTGATACAGGTGACTTCAATACTATTGCTCATTTGGCATTACTTTACATCTGTGGTTTTGGAAAGGGCTCTGAAAGATAAAGTTTAGAGATAATCTGTCTCCAAATAAAATTTCATTCTGGTTTTGCAGAACGGGCTTGAGTTAGGCAAAACTGAGATTGAACAGATCTCAGATATTTTATTTTTCTAAATCTAGATCTTGCACCATTTTTTACTCCTCAGAAAATCAGTATTTAAAAAGGATGTTTGATTGCTAGAGCTCTAGGCTTATGTTTTGAGTGCAGGCATAGCGTGAGCAGGTCATTCTCCCTGATGTATCCAGATAACGCTTCTGGACAGACCCAGTATCAGGCAGTACAAAACTGGTGCTTTCTGGAAAGTACAAAATTTCCCTTTCTGGAAGGAACGCCCGACCTCTTCCAGGTGTCAGGGCTGCCATCAGAGGCGCGGGGCTGCAAGGACGGCTGTGGCTGGAAGCAGGCCTGGGTACGGAGCATCAACAGCCACCCGCAGAGATGCCCAGCTCTGCCCTCCCTCGCGTGGAGCTCATCGAGCTGGGCTG